GCCGGGCGTCTCGTTCAGAATCGAAGCAAAGGACGTTTGACCTCAGATCCTTATAAGGTGAAGTAGTTTCTGCTCCGAACGGTACATGCTTATGGGCATGTGTTTCACTCTACATCGGCCCGTGTCAATGGTCAGTGTTTGCAAGACACAGTGTTAAGTGTGCCTGCTGGCGGTTTGGATCAAGATTCTTGACATGGTCTCCAAGCCCTCCAGGGCAACTGACTGGGACTGGACTCGTTATACTGGCTGGGACTGGAAGACACCCAAGCGCGTCAGGGGACTGCCGTATGTCAATTGACGGTTAGGGACTCAGCTGGGAGCATAGAGCGAAGGGTCGTAAAATAGGTCTAGAGTCCGGTGCGCCCACTTCCAAGGCCAAGTCCCATGCTGTGCGACTGCGAGAGTTTTCAAGGTCCAGCCGTGCTCCCATCTTCACAAGAGCCAAGACTCCTTGCAAGGATGGTCCCCGGTCCCTTACCTTTCTAGAACCCATTCCACACTCCTGTCTTTTCCGTGCTATCTTAGGTGCTTGGGACTGAAGCCGCCTGCATATTGTCCAGAAAGCACGCCCAGCATAAGCGGTGTGCTGTCGTAGCTGTGATAGGCAATTCGCGTGGATGTTGTGATCCTGCCGAGTCGATGCTGTAGGCTCAGGCTCGCACAACTGATTCCAAGTAGTGATGCTGCCGGCGTCTTGAGCCTTCCATCCAAGTCGGCACGCGCACTGATCAGTCTGGAAAGGACCTCTTCCGCACCGCCTCGATACCACATGGCAAAGTGCAGTGCCCTCGATGTGTCCACCTCATCTTGTATGCGGCTGACCAGCTCGTCCAGGCATGCCACGGCACCTGCCCCAGCGGCAACCTCTAGCGGTGACATCCCGAAGGAATTCTTGGTTGTGGGGCTGGTGCCAGCGTCGCACAGGATACGGATGCCCTCTGCTTTGTCGGTAGTGGCTGCTGAGGAGATAGGCGGGTTCCACCCGGAGTCGATCTTGGCCTTTGCCTCGAGCAGCAGCCGCAAGGCTGGGTTCTGGTGAAAGTAAGCACAGATGGACGT